CTAAGGACTAGAGTACATATAGAAGAATGTTTGTTTCATACATAAATTCGGCATTGTACCATTGCAATAACCTTTGCTCGATGCAGATATTAAAACTTCATGGTTTGAACATGGTTTTGTACAACTGAATAAATAAAAGAATATTATTTATAACACTCCCCAGGGGAAAGGCTTACTATCTCTTCATTACTGGGGATGTAGGGATGTGTGACTCCAATTATTTTTTCAGGTCTCCAAATGAATAAGATTGCTGGTCTTTTTGAGATTCACGAATGTAAGAATATGACACTCTATAACATTCTGTGAGAAACATAGGTGACTTGTGGAAGGAGAACAATATATTTTCTGAATACTTGCTTTCGTGGTAAGGGACATTTGGGATCATTTTGTAGCATCCTCATATTTGCCATTTTTGTTCACTGTTAGTGTCTTCAAAGTGAGTGAAAGAGAAGATGAGGCTTTCTTTAAAGACAACAAAGGCAAGAGGAAATGAATGGCTTTGCCTGGTACTGCAGCCAACCTTCGGAGGTTGGCTGGGCAGGGGATGCTCACTTCCGAAAGAGAAGAACAATTAGAAAGTTATGCAGCCATCAAAAACGATGAGTTTGGGTCCTTTGTAGGGACATGGATGAACCTGGAAACCACCACTCTCAGCAAACTGACAGAAGAGCAGAAGATCAAACACCGCATGTTCTCACTCATAGGCGGGTGTTGAACAATGAGAACACATGGACACAGGGAGGGGAGCACTACACACTGGGGTCAGTTGGGGGGAAATAGGGGAGGGAGGGTGGGGGGTGGGAAGCTGGGGAGAGATAGCAAGGGGAGAAATGCCAGATGTAGGTGATGGGGAGGAAGGCAGCAAATCACACTGCCACGTGTGTTCCTATGGAACAATTTTGCATGTTCTTCACATGTACCTCAAAACCTAAAATGCAATAAAATAAATAAATGGGAAAAAATAAAGAAAGAAAGAAAAAGAAAGTGATGCTGGCCTGGGGCTGATAATTGGCACTTAGTAGCAAGGTACTTAACGAGTACCTTACGCATTTCATGTGCCCATCCAGTGACATCAAATGCTTCCTGGACCGTGTTTTCCTTGTATACTAGCACATCCTTCATGAACTACAAGTGCTTTTCGGGCTGCGAATATTGTTCCTTCCAATATGGCAGATGCAAGTTAGGTCCCAGAGAGCTGAAGAATAAATGGAAGATGAGGATTTCTTCCCCATTAGATTTCATAGTGTCTAACATAAAACAAGTGATAGATAGATATTGATAGACATCCCTTTGGATGTTTAGACATTACTTTCCTATACAGTTTCCAGGGTACATTTCCCGAATAGCTTCAAGGGTGCATTGCTAAGCCTGCAGGTTGAGGAAGTAGAGCTTGTTCGGAGTACTAAATGACACGTAGGACATTTTCAATATGATGCACCAAACTGACCATTTGAACTTTAATTAAACTCACAGTTCCCTGACTCTTAGAAAGAGAAATTTCAGCTATGACTAAAACTTAAAAATTTGTCAATTGCTCACGATTGATGTAAATACACTCAATTTTATCAACTATAAAAGCGTATACTTTATCCTCGAGATGTATAATCTATACTCACTCAGATACTTTCAATCCTTACATGGTGATATATATTCAAACTGATTTCTGTTTACAAGAATTTTCAGAAGAATACATATCAGGCTGCTGTTGGGTTTGAATCTGCCTCTACTCACACTCAGAGTGCTGTTTGTCCTTCATGCACACATATAATCTCTTTTATGAACCTCTAATCTTAAAATGTATTAACTGAAATAGGGGGTTCTCTCTGCTATTCTTAATAATATCTTTTTCTGCAGCTTCCTCTGATGTCATTTTCTTACCTAATAAAAGTTTATATTTCATTAATCTTTTTTTTTTTTCTTCTGTATCTAAAAGCCTCCTTCTATTCATAATGGAGGAAGACCGGCAAGGAATCCCGAACTTGGTGTAAAAATATCCACTTTCTAAATACAACTTGGCCTCTTCCTTTCTGTGACTTCTGAGGCTCATTCCTTCCTCCCTCTGAGCTTGGCTTTTCCCTTTGCCTAAAGAGGGAGGTCAGATTAGTTTATACCCAGGATCCAATTCTATTATGTACCCATGATCTTTCCACCTGGGAGAGCTCCGCAAAAAGCTTGCATATTTCACAAGGTTCCCAGCCAAACTTTTCAAGAGTGAAATCTTGGGGGTCACATTTTTGGTGAAAAGACAAACCATCTTTTCTAGATATCAAGAATGTATCTTAGAGGTATTCCAAGTTCCTTCTTTGCCATCCGGTTGGGTGGCAATTGTTGGGCAGAACAATTCAGCGGAGGAATTCAGAATATCTCAATTTGCTTGCTTCCTCTGTACAGTCCTGACCAAGTTATGTGGTCCTTGAGGTTCAATTTTTCTCTTCTCAAACTGGAGAAAAACTGATTTTCTTGGCCTATTTCAGAGTAACTTTGGGGAGATCTTAAAAAGGATGATGTAATTAAAAAGAGTTTGTCACACACAGGTGCGTAGCAGTAGCTGTCTCTAATCTGTATCTCTACAATGCATCCAATGCGAGACCATCAGCAGGGTTCTTAGCACACAAATTTGATTATGCCATTCCTGGTTCCCCACCACCTACAGGATGTGCTGCTGACTTCTTTATCGGCTCAAGCCTCGTCTCCCACCATCTCCCCTCACCCAATGAGAAGCCTATTTTCCGCCCACAGAGCCATCTGTAGTCCTGTCTGTCATCCTCTTGTGCACTTCAGAGACTTTGGTAGACTTTTCTTTCTGCCTGGAATATCTTTTCCCACTTTTTCCATCTGGTTAAATTCTTGTTTCTTAAGTAGCATAGTTTGTAAAAAGATCTACCCCACCTTCTTCTTATTTAAACAACAACAAAGTATTTCAAATACAATTGAAGTCTCCTGGTCCCCTTCATTGAAACCATTCCCCTCCCTCCCCAGAAGTACACTCAACTCAACTTGGCAATAATCAGTACCTTGAGTGGTTTTTATAAATGCCTAAATATGCGTGTTGCCATTGTGCTGTTGACTATGTTTTAAAATGTGTATCATATATATATATATGTATATGTATGTGCGTTATCATACCCTGTACATTTTGATCTTTTTGCTAAAATTTTGACATGCAAACGGTTTGAAAACCAACCCAGTTTTTTTCCATAATGTATTTGGCAACAAAGTTTAACTTAACCTGAACTCATTAGGTGCCAAAACATGATCTGAATTAATGTGAGGCTATTCTTGGCTGTGATTTATTCTGCTTAGGTGAATCTCCTTATTTTTTTTTTCAGAGGAAATATTAGTATGTTTGGTTTTGTAGTGCTGGCCCAGCTTCTGAGGGGGTGTTACCAAAATATAAATATATGCCTCTCTGTAGTATATTTAAAACATTGAATTCTGAAACACATCTGGCCACCAAAGGTTTTGGAAAAGGAATTTGGACTGAGATGTTTTTGAAATCAACCCATGTTGTCTCAAAAAGCCCCAGTGCATTTATTTTAACAGCTTTAACAGCTTGATAATATTACATTGTGTGATATAGCTCAATTTACCTATTCAGTTCCTGGTTGATGGACAGCTAGGGTATTTCCAATGTTTCACAAATTTAAACAGTGTTGCAGTATGATTCTGGTACATGAATAGTGCTACAGTGAACAGGAATTTCCTAAAAGTAGAAGTGCTGATGCATGGGGCATATGCTTTTCTCATTTTATTAGCTATTGCCAAATTGCTCTCCAAAATGGGTGTATCCACATAGATATGAACTGCTAGGGCGTAACAGATTCCTTTGCTCCACATTTTGGCAAACGCTTGGGATCAGTGGTCTAGGAAACAGTCAACGTGTGTACATTCTCTATCCATGTTCTAAACGAACATTTCATCTCCAGTTTGGGAGATATAGGATTCTATAGCTCTTATTTCACACCCAGGAATTATGTTGTTGAAATATTCCAGATCTTTATTATTTTGTTTCTGAGATATCCGTTATTGAGAGAAGTATATTAACAACTCTCACTATAATGGTGAATTCTTCAGCTGGTTTTAAAAAAAATTCTGTCATTTCTTTGATATAATTTGAAGATACATAATTGCATATATAGAAGTTCTAAATAGCAATAACTCCTTTATGTTTTTTAGTTACCTGTAATAACTTAGGGCTTCAATTTTTTTCCTCAAAATATTAAAATAGCTACACGAGCTTTTTTTAAGGCTAGTTTCTGCCTGGTATATATTTTCTCAAGCCTTTACTTCTAAATATAATGAGTAATTATGTTTCTCTCTCCTCATTCAGACACTTATGTGGCTAGCTAAGACCATTTACATTTATTATGACTACTGACATATTTAGATTGATACATAATTTCTTATTTTATGTGTTTTACTTAGCACGTTTTTCATTTCCCCCTTCTGCCTTTCTATTGGATTATTTTTATTTCTTTTTCTCCCCCGATGAGGTATAACAGAATAATTCTGTTATCATACTTTGATGGTTGTCTTTAAAATGTTATCTTTCATATTTGATTTGACATAGTCAAAAAATAAATAATATCTTTTTTTCTGGAACAAGGAAAGGACCCTCACTTCAAGCATTATTGTTCAAATTGTTGGTACCACATTGTTTCTGGATGTGTGTATGTGTTTCTTTCTTTCTGACATATGATTTTTAGTTATTTTTTTCAGCAAGATTCTGTTTCTGGTAAGTTCTTAGTCATCTTAAAATGCCCTTATTACACCTTCACCCTTGAATAACAATTTTAAAATTCTTGGTGGAATTCGTATTTTGTCCAGCAATCTGGAGATATGACTACCTCTGAAGACTCGATAAATGTTGGCTGTTGTGTGGATGATTACACAAGCCATATAATGTCTGTTCTCCAATTCTCTAATGCTTTTCATCTGTTGAATTTGCTATTTAAACCTTTGAGTTTTTAATTTTTCAGTTATGTTTTTTCCTTTTAAACTACATTGAGTTCTTTGTCACATTTTTCAAGTTTTTTCTTAGAGTATCTATCTTAGTTTTTGAATCTTTAGCTTTTATCAATTAAATATTTATTTTTTGATGTTTATTAGATTCATTTTTTTTACTTAACCTCCTTGATCTTTCATATGTCCTATGACAAAAAGTCACTCCCAATTATACGAAAAATAGTCATTTGTTTGACCTCACATTACACATACACAACACCCTCAGAATAACATGGCTGACACTATCACTAACAAAATCACCAGAAGTTTAAAATTTTACTTATAGCCATATTTAACTTTTTACTTTATTTTAAAGTTGTTATTTGTATTATAACTATATATGTGAAACAGCATCCATATAATGCTATAATTCTTGCTTTCCACATTCATTTATATTTTTAAAAACTTAAATGGATAAAAACATTGAATTAGATATACCCAAATGGGTATCATTTGTGTTACTCCTTCTTCATTTTTACAGTTCCAAGTTTCCCTCATATATTTCTTCACTCTGAACAACTTTGATGAATTCTTTAAAAGCATACTTCCAGGTGACTAATTCCCTTAGTTTATCTTTATATGAGAATGTTTCTATTTTGCCTTTATTCCTGATGAGTATATTTGTTATACATAGAATTTTACATGATTAATTCCTTTCTTTTAGCAATTAAAAAAATGTTATTCTATTGTCCTCGGGTTTCCATAATTTCTGCTGAGAAATCTATAGTCATTTACATTATTTTTTCTTTATATACAATTATTGGTTTCCTTGGGACACTCTGAAGGTTTTAAAAAAGTTAACTTCAGTCTTCATCAGTTTTAATGTCATATTTTTGAAACTTTTTAAAGTTTATCATGTTTGGATTTTACTGAATTTTCTGAATCTGTAAATGCATGTCTCAGAAAATTTGAGAAGATTTTGCCAACTGTTTCTTCTAACTTTCATTCATATCTATTTTCTCTTCTGAAATTCTAATGGCATGGATTTAGACCTTTTAAAACTTTTCCAGGGGTCCCTAAGTCTTTGCTCATTTTTAAAATCATTTTTCTCTTTGCTCAGTTCGTATAATTTATATTCATCCATATTCAAGCACTTTACTCTTTTCTATTTCATCTCCCTTCCGCTTCTGAGTCCATTCAATGATTTTTTATGTTCTATATTACATTTAATTCTAAAATGTTCATTTTTAAAAAAGCATTTCCATTTATCTGATGGAAATGTTTATCTTTACATTGATTTCCAGAGTGTTCACCTTGACTCCACTGATAATTGTTACAATAGCTACTTTAAAAGCTTTTCCTGATAATTCCACCATGTGGTTCTCATTCATCTTGGGATTGGCACCAGATGATTTTCTTAGCCCTTAGCATTGGTTAGCTTTTCCTATTTCATGTATGTATTTAGGTTCATGCAAAAGAAGTAATGGAGTTTTTGCCATTACTTCTGATGGCTAAAGCCACAATTACATGTGTGTGTGTGTCTACCTACCAAGTAATTTTGAATTGTATCCTGAAATTTTGAATATTATTTTGTGAGATTCTGGATCCTGCTAAAGTCCTTTGGAAAATGTTGATTTTGTTTTGTTCTAACAGGCAATCAATCTAGTTAGGCTTAGAGTGTGAGTTCCACCTTACTGTCTGTGATTGGCGGTTCTCAATTTAGTTTAGTTTTCCAAGCCTTTGCTGTGCTGTTCAGATCTGCCTGCACATGTATATACCATGGAAGGGATAGAATGGGATTTAGGATATGGTTTATTTCACACTCCAGTTCCGAAAGCCTTTGCTATGCTTTGCTGGTTCTGCTCCATCCAGGCACAGCCTGGGGGGAGATCTTAGACTTGCATAAGTTCATGCATGGAAAGTGGGGAAGAGCCTTCTTCAACCTCTCCTCTCTAGATTTTCCTTGACAATAGTTCCCACAGGCCACTTTTCCAGTCTCTCTGAATGGAAAGATAAGGCTCTTTCTGTATTTTATTCCTCCAGATTGTTGGGGAATTCCACGAGATTGGGACTACCTTTAGGGCAAAGTGATGAGAGAAAAGAAACAGAAAATAAATCAGGGCTCTTTTTCTCAGCCTTCTTAACAGAGAAGAGGGTCTTTCCTTAGGGCTTCAGGTGCCTGTAATACTTCAAAGTCTCAGAACCATTCTGCTACCAGAGCTGTCCTCACAACATAGCTGGGGATAAAAAGAGAAAACAGAAGTTTTAAAGAGACAGGAAATTTTACCTCACACTCTGACACGTGGGGTTTTACCTTCCCTTTCCTTTGGCTGAAATAGAGACTTCTTTCTATTCCTGCTATACATTTTTTTTTTTGACAAAGTATTGCTCTGTCACCCAAGCTGGAGTGTAGTGGTATGATCTCAGCTCACTGCAACCTCCTGCAATTCTTGTGCCTCCACCTCCTGAGTAGCTGGGATTACAGGCATGCAATACCACACCCGACTAATTTTTGTTTTGTTTTTTGTTTTGTTTTACTAGAGATGGGGTTTTGTCATGTTGGCCAGGCTGGTCTTGAATTCCTGACCTCAGGTGACCGCCCCCCACACACACCCTTGGCCTCCCAAAATGCAGGGATTACAGAAGGGAGCCACTGCAACTGGCCCCACTATACTTTTTGCAATTTGACCCATCCTTGAACCAAAGCTGAGAGATAAAAAAGAAAACAAAGCAAAGCCAAACACTGCAAATCCCATGCCTGGAGTGGAAAACGATTCAGGCTCTTACTTCAGTTTCCAAGGTCCCTCTTCCTGAGCTTTCAGAATCCTTGGGTAGTTTCCTTCTGTATTCTGCTCAACGACCTTAACCATAATCAGACTGCAGTTTACTTACTCTGCCTGTCTTTCAAATCCTGGAATTATTTTTAAATTTACATTTCATATTTAAGAATTACTTCTAAAAGTTTGATTTCATTTTGCTTTGAAGTTTGTAACTATGTATATGATTCTCAAGTATTTATATACCTCCCAGGTAAAAATTACAAAACAGGGTCGTTATGGGCTGAGACACGTCCCACCCCAAATTCATACGTTGAATTCCTAAACACAAGTACTTCAGAAGGTGACTGTATTTGGAGACAAGGCTTTAAAGCCTATCAAAGTAAAATAAAAAATTAAAATAAGGTCACTAAAGTGGATCCTAATCCAATCTAATCAGTGTCCTTATAGTAATAATACATTTGTGCACACAGAAAGACACTAGGGGTGTGCACGCACAGAGGAAAGACCACGAGAAGGGGCAACAAGAGGGCAGCCTTCTGTAAGCCAAGAAGAAAAGCCTTAGGAGAAACCAGACCTGCTGATGCCTGGATCTTGGACTTCTGGCTTCTAGAACTGTGAAAGAAGTAGGTGCTTATAGTTTAAAGACCCCTAGTTGTGGTACTTCATCACAGCAATAGTGGCAGCTCTAGAAGACTAACACAAGAAGATTAAACCTATATTAGTCTGTTCTCATGCTGCTAATAAAAACATACCTGAGAGTGGGTAATTTATAAAGGGAAGAGGTTTAATGGACTCAGAGTTCCACATGTGCAGAGGCCTCACAGTGGAAGGCAAAGGAGAAGCAAGGGCATGTCTTACATGGTGGTAAGAGAGCTTGTGCAGGGGAACTCCCGTTTATAAAACCATCGGATCTCATGAGATTTATTCACTACCATGAGATCAGTTTGGGGGAAACCTTTCCCATGATTCAATTATCTCCACCTGATCCCACCCTTGACACATGGGGATTATTATAATTCAAGGTCAGATTTGGGTGGGGACACAGCCAAACCATATCAAAATCCTATTCTCTTTTAGTCTTGTCCATTTGTTCATTATTTACAATCTGCCTTCCTATATGCCATAGTCATCTACAACATTTCTGTCTTCTTTAAACGAACAACTCCTTAAGTTGGTATTTTTGTGTCTATTTCTATGGGTTAAGAAACTGTTACAGCTGGTGAGCAGGAAAGCTGATGCTATAGACTGAACATTTGTGTCTCCCCAAAATTCACATATTGAAATTCTAACCCCCAAGGTAGTGGTATTAGGAGATAGAAGCCTTTGGCAGATGATTAGGTCATTAGGGCAGAGCCCTGGTGAATGGGATTAGTGACCTTATAAAAGAGGACCTAGAGAATTCCCTGGGCCCTTCTACCATGTGAGGACACAGAGAGAAGGAGCCATCTCTGAATCAGGAATTGAGCCCTCATCAGACTCTGAATGGGCCGACTCCTTGATCTTGGCCTTCTCAGCTTCCAGAATTGTAAGAAATAAATTTCTGTTGTTTATAAATCACCCAGTCTATGGTACTCTATTACAGCAGACAGAATAGACTAAGCCAGCTCCTCCGACTCGTGGCTACACAGCCCAAATGCTTCTTGATGCATTGCACTGCTAAGTTAAGCTGGAGTGCAAATATGGAGAAGAAGGTACATGCACAACCATGCGATTCTCTAGGTTGTCATTAAACTGCAGCTCCAAAGCTGAAGAGTAATGAGGAAAATGTCATTTTAATTCACCAATTTTTTTTTTAAATTAAACTACTATTCATGCAGTCAGGGCAGTGCAGATCCCTTCCTGAAAAATTTTGACAAACTACAAGTACCATTCAGAAACATGAAGGGCTCTCAGTGGGACCTTGTTATTCTGAACGTTAACACAAAGCCATTTCACACAATACAATACAACTTGATTTTGTATAGCACCCCATTCCAGTAGGGCCCCCAGTGGAAATTCATGCACCATGTTTTTAATCATACTGGAGTGATTTAATTTCAAACATACAACTACTTTTGTCTAATGCAACCTACATTTGAAGAAAGGTTTCTTCTTGACAACTTGAGTGAGAGGATGACAAGGTCTTTATTCTGACTGTGACTCAATAGGCCACATGTTGCCTCTGATGAGGGTATATGAATACCACCTACGGAGGGTGGTATGGGACTTTTCATTTGCCCCACTGTAGGAAGTACTTATGGGCTAAAATTATAGTATTGAATAACAACAAAATCTACCAAAATGACTTAATATTTTTTCCCTTTCCTTGAAAATAAAAATTCTGTTTACTTCCCCGTTATAGAAAGACGGCTTGGTCAAGTAGAGCTAACAGCAAGTTGCAATTCTTGGGTTTTGCTCCAGGAAAAACTTTGCCAAGCTCTGTGACCTTGGACAAGTCCTTTCTCCTCCCTGGTATTCTGTTTCTATACTCAGGAGAAGCAAGGAGTCCGCTTTTGAAGTATATATTCTCTGTCCTGTTCATTAACACAGATTCCTGCTAAGCTGCTTCTTCTTCAATTCACTGATCCACAGCCTAAGGGATTTGGGAAATTCTCAGAGAGAAGCTCCTGTTTGAATAGTCCTTTATGAGTTAAACATAACTGGGGGAGTGGGTTAAGGAGGGAGCAGGCTGTGTAAATACATGGATTAACACACAGCCTTGAAATGGATACCAGAAATCAAGAAAAGAGCTTCTTTACCCTGATAGCCTGGCTTCATTTCTAGTTGACCAACAAAGACTCAGTAAATAATGGTGAGGCAGCCTCTTAGCAGGCAGGTGTTCCTGTTAATGCAGACCATGAATCATACAGCTAGGATGCAGCAGATATAGCATTTCACCTTAGTTGGCTTGGCTCTAGCATAAGCTTAGCCACAATGCTGCTGCTTCTTGCAAGCGAAGGCAGACTCTTTCTCCTTCCAGCTCTATTTTCTTAGCTGCACCAGCGCCACTGATTCTGTGTCATAGGACAGGAGAAGAAGCAGATCTCTTTCTGAGTAATATACCCCAACGCAGTCATGGCAACGGCCCTCAGAGTTGGGTGAATTGTGTACAGTTCGGTCTACCTAATTCAAAGAACAGGAACGACTATTTCTATGTATCATACGGGAAATCTAGGACTTCTGTCTGATGGTCTAGTTGGGTTTCTACTTCCCTACATCCCTGATTCTCTGCATTTCCGAATTCTATTCCTTTGGAGTGGGACACAAGGTGACATATCTGAGGACCATGTTTCCCTAAGTGAGGTTGCTTGTCTGCTGCCTTAATTCACAGATAAGAGGCAGGTGAAGACTCCAGGTTGTTAGGAGCCATCGTCCTGTGATACCCCCTTACCTAGTTCCCAGGCTGTGCTGAGCCTGGCCTAGATTTTGATGCTTGGATTAAGCAACCATTTATGCCCCTATGGCTATACAGGTTGGCTCTTGCTTTCACAGGCTCATATTTAGCACTTTCTATGACCTTTGGTACAATCTCCATCTGGTTCATTTAGCTCCTGGCTGCTTGGAGCCTAATACCAACATTCTAAGCCAGGCAGAGCTTCTCAGAAGCCAACCCTAGCCACTGACCTGCTTTGCTCAGCCTTTGATTCTGGACATAGAGTTTCCTTAGAAAATAGCTCTGTTCTACCTTCCTATTGAACTTCTAAGAATTGGCCCTAAGTCTTTCATGGAGAAAACTAAGAAGATGGAGCTAATAAGCTCCTCTTTGAAACCTGTGTGGGTTTTCCCCAGTATCAATAACCACTTCTCCAATTATTTAACAACTGGGCACTCAGCAATTCAAATCAATCTCAGCACTAACTACCTGGAATTTGTACAGCCCCACAGGCGAAGGGCTCAATCCCATTAGGATGCCCCCTCTTCAGATGCCAGTGCAAGTGGGGTCTCCAGGTGACTCACACTTCTGCTCAACCAAGTACAAAGTCAGGGGTTCCCATGACTCCTCTCTTCATGTTTGATAACTTGGTAGAATGACTTGCAGAACTTAGGACAGCCCTCTAATGATTAACACCGATTCCTGCTAAGCTCCTATTGAGGCTTGGTCTTTGACTACTTAAGAGAATTCATTAATCCACAGCCTAAGTGATTTGGGAACTACTCAAGGAGAAGCTCCTGTTGGAAGAGTCCTTATTATGAATGATACAATGCAGAAAGAGCCAGACGGAAGAGAAGCACGGGGCCAGGTACCCTGGAGGTGAGTGTGTACACAGACCTTCCTGCTCTCACCGGCTGCCCTATCCTCAGGGATGTGGTCACTGATTGGAAGCTCCTGGAACCTCATCCTTTAGGGGTTTTAGGAAGCTTACAATATGGAAGCATGATTGATTCAATCATTGGCCATTTGTGATTAAACTCAATCTCCAGCTTCTTTCCTTGGGAAGGCAGAAGGTGGGGCTTAAAGTTCTTACCTTCTAATTAGAAAGAGGCGACCTTGGTCTTTTGGCCACCCACCCCTAACCTGAAGCTATTTAGGGCTTTTCCCACCACCAGGAGTCATCTCATTAGCCTACAAAAGACGGTCTTTTCACTCAGGAGATTACAAGTGTTATAAAAGCTCAGGACCAGGAACTAGGGAGGGAGACCACATTTGTAAAATTATTATATATCATAGGAACCTAATAAAAATTTGAACTCACAGTGGAAGTCAACCTAGCCAAGTCTCCAAAGAAAGATCTATGTCATTGGGCAGAGGGGAAACGCTTCTTCAGTTTTCAGGATCCCGGAGCTGCAGGAGCTGATGAGGAGCTCAGCTGAAGGCCAAACATGGGACAAAGGTCCACAACTTTGAGATTTTTATTTTCAACTTTTCAATAGTGTGACAGCAATATGCGTTCAGTAAGAACCATACCTAGAGTGTCCATACATACAACCATTCTGCTTTTTACCTTCAGTACAGTATTCAATAAATTACATGAACTATTCAATACTGTATTATAAAAATAGGCTTTGTGCTGGGTGACTTTGCCCAACTGTAGGCTAATGTAAGTATTCTGAGCATGTTTAAGGTAGACTAGGCTATATTATGAGGTTTAGTATGTTCACAATATTTTGATGGGTTTTGTCTCTGTAAGTTGAAGATAGAGATGCTGCATTTCCCATCACCAGGATGCTCAGAGCACCTGCTGTATGTGAGTTGATCATCGAAGCTGTGAGATGACAGCTGAATCAAGGCCATACGCCCATGTTCTGGTACGAGAGGCATGTCCTACTCATGCTGACCCTTCAGGAGCCCCAGGAGACTCCACCCAGCAGCAGAGTGAGATGTCTCTGAAGGAAAGGGTGGGGTGAGAGGAGCAAAATCAGTAGGAAAAAATCAGCAGCTGCAGGAGAAAGTCCTCACTCCACCACAGGGGGCTGGGGGAAGAAATGGGGCAAGTTACCCCACTCTATGGAACTTGGAAGCCCAAGACATAAATTTCCATTCCCTGTACTGGAGAGCCCAAGCCTCAGGATGTCCATGTGAGCTTACCACCGCCACCACCCCCTTCCACCACCACACGCCCAGAGGAAAATCGCTGTCCTTTAGAGCCACAACGGAAGAAAGGGCCGGGCACTGCTCCCACCATCACCCCTGGCCTCCCACTGTCCCTGCTCCCACTTTATTGTAACCACACTGACTGTTCTCACATTACGGTAACCACAATTGGCCCCTGGAATCTTCCTCTAGCCAACCAAGCACATTCCTGATTCAGGACATTTGGCCCAGAGATTCCCTTTGCCCTGAACACTCTGCCTTCCAATATTCAAAAAACCAAAGTCATTTGCTTCCCTACTGCACAGAGATCTTGATGAGTCCGCAGTGGGTTTCCCTGCCTGCCTTGTGTCAAGTAACCCCTCTGGTCACACAAAATATCACCTCTACTCTCTTCTCCTGGAATGTATTTTTCTACTTACAACTTGATTTATACATATTTGTCCTCATCCCCATCATTTCAGAGTAGCTGCTACATCAAAAAATCTTTAATTATTTTACACATGACCTACTTTTGGAACAGGATCTAGTACTGGGGAAGTGCTTAATGACTGGATGAATGATGGTTGATCGAATGACTATAGATAGATATTGTGGCCTGTGTGACCCAGGAACTCTGGACAAAGAGGATTGGACTCAAGAGGGAATAGTGGCTTGTTCCTTCCAGACAAATTATAGGGTGACTGGTGTCCTAAGAGTTTGGCCTACCTGGAATCGTGTACCCATCAACTTTTTAGGTTTGAATTATAATTGGAGAGGCTGGCATAGAGGCAGCTGGTACCTATCAACATTTTAGGTTTGAATTAGAATTGGAGAGGCTGGTACAGGGGCAACTAGTACCACTTTTTAGGTTTGATTTAGAACTGGAGAGGCTGGCATAGAGGCAACTTGTACCCATCAACTTTTTGGGTTTGGGTTAGAATTGGAGAGACTGAGAGAGAGGCAACTGGTACAGGGAAGACTTGCAGAAAGACAATTGCTGGGTCTCATAGGGTCTCCGTGTACAAGTTTCTTCTGCTGAGGCATAGAGAGAATGCTTAGTTTTTGGGGAAGGCCCAGCTATACTGTGATTCCTCTTTTTCCCACTATTTCTGAAACCCTCTAGAGCCTGGACAAGGGGCTGAGAATGTAGGTTTTCTTTTTTGTATTTGTGTGTTCTTCTTCTAAACCCTCCTTGCCTTCAGAGACTCAAGAGGTTCTCTTGTTTCTTGGAAACCAAATTTTAAGAGCATTGTCATGGTTTCCGTGAGTTTTCAGGCCTGGTAACATCAAAATATGTTGGGGTTGCAGAGAGAAGCGGAAGGAATCAATAAAAAAGCAAAGCAAAAGAGAGGAAAGAAAATTGATGAACATCTTTCGAGGACTTAGCAAGCACTATTAATTACTTGGGAATTACTTATCATATTTGGTTCTCGTATTTCTACTTTTAGGATATTTTTAAATAGAAAAGAAAAACCCTACAAACTCTCTGAAAGAATAAAGAAATTTGTCTCACGTAACGGGAAGTCCATGTCTACAGTGTCTGTACAGCAGGATCAGCGCTAAAGCTCCACTTCTTTTCTATTCTTTTGCCTCCTTTTGTGGACAGCTTCATGCTCAGGGTAGCTATCTCTGTCCTTGCATGATGGATTCTGGAAGCTCCCAGGTAGCATGTTTCCAAAGAGCCAGCGTGAGAAGTCTACTCCCCCATTCACAGCCAACCGACACGTGGCCCCAAGCTCTGACAGGTGCAAGCCTGGGTTTCTGAACCTCTCACCCTTCAGAGGATGGGATGACCATTATTGGTTTGGATCATTCAAAGTCTCATTCTTCAGTCGGAGGGTGTTGTCCACTCCCCTGACTCCTAAGAGCTAAATGAGGGAGAATTGGCCTTGTGAAAATGGAAGACAGATTCTTCTAGGAAGAAGCAAGTGAGGAATGGGTGTCTCATTACCACTTCACAGGTAAGAAACCTGATACTCATTGGGATGAGATATTCTGCTCACATGATACAAATTGGCAGTTACCAAGTCTATTCCAAAGCCTATATTTATTGCATAAGAAGTAAAGGAAGGAGGTGGTGGAAGCAAGAGAGGAAAGGGAAGGAAAAAGGATAAAAAAAGTAAAGAAGGGAAAATAAGAAGGACATTACAAGCTTCTTCTGCAGCCGGCCTAATAAAAGAGGGCCAAGTTAGAAACCGACTGTCACCATGTGCTTTTCCAGTTCATTACTTCCTGGCATCAGTAAGGTCTCATTTGTGAGAAGAAAACAATGACTTTAAAAGACTCAAGCATTCTTGGACATCAACAGAGTCTTCCCCAAACATAATTTTATTAAATCTGAAGAAAAGAGAATCTGCTTCTTGCAGAGACCATCTTTGCTTCCAGATATATTAACTTACTAATGAACAGAGAACAAGTGTCCTGTGGTTGGCTGAACACCAGATATTAGAGGAAGAAAGTAGCTGAAGCCATTCAACAAAAAGTTAAATGTAATAGAGTTTCCATACTTGACTTTTAAAGAAGCTTCCAGATTTATGATTTTATTCTGAAGTTAGTACCCTTAGTACCTGAGAATAGTAATATTTTGAGAGAGAGGAAAGCTTTCCTCCTCCCTATGGGACAAGATTGCTTATTGCTTTAGGCTGTGATGTCATTATTAGCTGAGTATCATAGGCCAGGATTAAGCATAGGCAAGGAATAGGAGTGAGGGAACCTTCTGGGATACAGTGCCAGACCTTAGGGGAAGTGTTTCAAAGGATGTGAGTACATGGGAATTTCCAGGTGAGCTTAATCAGGCAGGTGAATTGGATTGGCAAGGGCCTGAACAGCATGACTTACTCAAAGCTCAAAGTCAAGCCTTAAGGTGATTTGGCTGTTTTGGGAAGAGTTGCCACTTGTGATTAGGACTGCAGGGTCCTGTGTTCTCCAGGTAGAGGTCTGAAAGGAGGTGGGTAGATGTCTGGAGCCCCAGATAATCAGAACAAGATTCTGAAAAGTCCCATGGAAAAACTGTTCTTCCATCAGTATGTCTATATCCAAAGTCAGTCACTACCCAGAAGGAATATTTCAGACCTACTGCCCTGACTCCCACTATGTCAGTGCTTTCTGTGATTGACAACCATATTTCCTACCAAACTCACCTGAACTTGAGTCTCAATGATGTTTGATAGGCTAGCTCATGGGCTTCAGTTTCTTCTGCTATAAAACTGAGGTCACAAACCCGACTCATAGGATGATTTGAGCAGAGCAGTTCGAGTGTTCTTGGCCCCTCCGAAACTCATGTGAATCTTAATTCCCAAAGCAACCATGCTGGAATACAGAACTCGGTGGGAAGTCTGTAGGTCAGGGGGGCTTTTATCCTAATGATGGGTTAATGTGGTTACAGAAATACTTCTGGTAATTTGCTCTCTTCTGTTCTTCTGCCATGGAAGGATCAGCATTTCTTCCCTCTGGAGGATGTAGCATTCAAAGAATGACCTCAGATGTGGAAACCAGGCCCTTGTCAGACACCAGACCCGAACACATTTTGACCCTGGATTTCCTAGGCTCTAGAACTGTGAGAATAAAATATGTTTTTTATAAATTACCTAACCTCCGAACCTCTGTCATAGCAGCATAAATGATTAAGACAGGTAGACTAACAGAATGAATACAAGCAAGATATAAAATATTAGATGGTTGCATGGCCCATGGAAAATAATAACACTGAATAACTACACAACTAATAATGAAGGTAATTTGTAATAACTACAAAACCCATATAAATAAAGGTGCCTAAAATTTTTCCTAACCGAGATTATCAGTTTACCCTAAGTTCCCAAAGCATGGTGAAATGGAATCATAAGTCTAAGCCTGAGCCTGTGTTCTCCAAAGTTCCATCTGATGACTGGCCAAGGTTAGTGGGATAGCTGCATCACAGTCGTCGGATGCCAGCACTGAATAATTGGTAAGCAGCTCTGCTCAGAAGAAACAGTGGGCTGGGCAATTGCGGAATCTCCGTCCTTGGTAATCCATGTGAGTTGTCCTGGCATCGTCTTGAAGATCCCCAGTGTATAAATCGCTCTGCTTGCCTACTTTTGTTGCCTGGAGAGTTAGACTCACTCAAAGTAAAACGTGGGATTAGAGCAGAGTCAGGATGATTTGCAGTGAAGACTAAGATAATTGCCATCTTTTTTCTTTTTATTTTTACTTAAATTAATTAAGTGTTTTCTCCTAGGAAGGAAAGACCATCCATAATTCATTTTAATTACCTCACACTTGTACTAACAATTTCAGCATTGGTGTGTATGACAGACATTAAAGGACATGAAGAAGTTTGGTGGAAGACAGTATTTGAGGTCTAAGGAACTGAGTAGTGTTAGAGTTGCCCACCACTGGGGAGAAGCAATATGGAGTTAAAGTCCCACCAGATTAGAGGGATTTCATAAAGCGTTTGACTTCTCATTGAAAACACAGAAGCTCTATGTCATAAGAGCCAGAATTAAGTGAAAAACCAAAGTAAACTAGTCTTAGAAAGGCATAAATCCAAGCTACAACAG